TATATATATATATATATATAAGGTATGTGTTTGTATAGTATAATAATTGTTTTTGATACAGCATTAGATTCATTAAAAATTGAAACTGAATGGATAAAACCTTAATTTAAAATTTTTATAATTTAAAGAACTTTGAGCTAAATACAGCCAGGAAATAGTTTTTATAACACTTTTGCGTGTTATTTTATTATAAAAGGAAAAGAAATAGGAAAATGTTCATAAAATACTGGATTTGAAAACTCTAAAAATTGGGAAACACAATATTGAACGTTTTTTACAGTTGAATAGATTTATGAAGATGTTAACTTGATTAGAGGATTTAATACGTGAATCGAGGATGATATTCATATTTCGAGGATGACAAAACGAACGAAAGTCAAATTTAATCTTAGAAAAACCCTCCACTAATTACAACAGAGGTTTGCAAGTATGTCATGAGGGCCTCGCTGGCCGAGTAGTATCGCCCACCAAACGCTGTGCAGAGCGGGTTCGTATCCCGGTGTTACCCCGGATGTATCCTCGTGCTGTCCTTCTCTGTATAGTGCTGTCTCTCCTTTTATTTGTAAAAGGCTTATAAACCTTAATTGAGCGCACAAGCCTGCAAATGTCTGTGATTTCAATAAACAATAAATAAACAAGTATGCTATGAGACCGCATAATATGCAGATGATCCAGCCATCATTTCAGATTTAGATGCTCTAACAAAGCAATTAGAAACCACAATATCAGTTGCAAAACCGTAGAAAATTGGTGTAATAATTGGAAAATTTAAAATAAATGCGGATAAGTTGTAACTACTAATTATTAGGAAACATAGAACTACAATTCGTAACACAGAAAATATTAAGTTATTTAATTAAACCTTCCCATTTGTTAATCAGGCTAAATACTTAGAAGTCATATTTAAGAAATAAACTCACCTGGAAGGAGCATATTATCAAAAAAAGCAAACAATGCTTTTTTCGCACTCAGTTAAGTCATTATTCCAACAAATCAGTATCTGACAGGAGACTTAATCACATGATGTATATTCGACCTATTATAACTAACGGATCCTGGGATTACTTACGGATAACTTATGGAGCCTGGGACACTACAGACAAAACTTAAGTTAAAAAACTACAAGTTTGCTAAAACAAATTCCTTAGATAGATGAGTGCTCCTCCATGGTGCATTCGTAATGATGATTTACATAGACTTGAAACTTTAACCCTTAACTGATTACCTGAGCAGTGATGATTCAGGGGATAGAGCTTTCGCCTTGCAATGAGATGAACCTCGTTCGAATCCCAGCGATGGCTGGTTGATATAAATTCCGCATCTGGCTCGCACCGACCACTGTGCTGACGTAAAATATCCTCAGTGGTAGACGGATCATGCGTTAGAGTCCCGTTGCGATCGGGCTAACCATGTGAGGTGTTAGTGGTTTTCCTCTCCATGTAAAGCAACTGCGGATTTGTTCCATTAAAAAGTCCTTGCCCCCCACAAAGGTAAATTTCTCCCAATACTTGATCCAGGAGTTCCATTGTCCTCTAGGTTGGGTTCAAAATGTCAAGGCTACGGAGTTGAACATAAGTAGTCGTAAACCCATACTTGGGTTGGCTGTACAACGATAAGTATAAAATAAAATAAAAAACTGATTACCCTGAAGAGAGAAAAGCCAAATTCTACTACAAAGCTATTGACTGCGATACCGTCAACAACATATCCAAACTAGAACTAATAGTCGATAATATCAGATACAGTCCATCAACCAACTTTCTTCGATGGGTCTCTTTCAAAATTATTTAGTAAATCATGTCCATAATGCTTATTAGTTACTTTTTCGTTTTTCATGAACCATTATTAACGGTGCTTTTCGAAGATTGCGTCGTCATATGAAATGATGCTTTTTTGCAAACAATATGCTATTTTTATATCTGCTGTGAGTTTGCAACTGTGTGTGAGTTTGCTGTCTTGTTTCTCTCTCCTCCTCTTCTCAGTTGTATATGAATGTACTATGATATTTTCCCCTTTCTTAATATTTTTCGCACTCAATTGTCACAAGTATTTTTTTTTATAATTTCCACGACGCTTTCTTTTAGAGCTATGCTCAATACAATTTCCAGTTCCCTATAGTTTCCTAAGTTAAATTTTTAATCTATATGAAAATCAGGACAAAAACTAAATTACTTCCATCTCCTATGACTCTCTATACGCTAATGATGAAAGCAAGCAAAGTGTTACCATAGGTAGAGAATTCTGATCTACGCCACTCGCAGCTCATTTCCAATTGATGCCACTGTTTGTTTGGCGAGTGATGCTAGCCTATTAGGGTCCACCCCTTAAAGGTGACTGCATCTTAGTATCCTCTAGTATACCTTTCGAACCAA